CTCTGACGCCCACCACACCCCCAGCTGTCACCCCCGCTGCCCAGGCACCTCCAGTGGCCATGGTGGCCCCACAGACTCAGCCCCCTGCCCCCCAGCCCAAGAAGAATCTGTCCCTTACGGTACGTGTGCCCGGCAGTGGGGGTGCCAGCGGTGCCTGGCAGGGCTTGCAGGTGGAGGGAAGCAGGACGTGGGCTGCGGCCCAGACACTTACCCCCGCCTGCACTGCAGAGGGAGCAGATGTTTGCCGCGCAGGAGATGTTCAAGACGGCCAACAAGGTCACGCGGCCCGAGAAGGCCCTCATCCTGGGCTTCATGGCCGGCTCCCGAGGTGGGTTCGTGTGGCCGGCCCAGGCGTGGGGGGCCCGGGATCCTGCAGGGGTGGGAGGGGTGGGCTCCTCGGCCCTAGGACCCGCCCAGCAGCCTGCGCCTCCACAGAGAACCCGTGCCAGGAGCAGGGCGACGTGATCCAGATCAAGCTCAGCGAGCACACGGAGGACCTGCCCAAGTCGGACGGCCAGGGCAGCACCACCATGCTGGTGGACACCGTGTTCGAGATGAACTACGCCACAGGCCAGTGGACGCGCTTCAAGAAGTACAAGCCCATGGCCAACGTGTCCTAGGGCCGCCGCCCTGCCTCCGCAGGCACAGGCCCCGAGGACGAGGCTCCGGCTGCCGAGTCCGCCTCGCTCTCGGGGTGTTTTAGACTGATTTTTCAAGTTTTAAGATGGGTTACTTTTTGTGTGATCTAAGTCACTTTTTTGGATTCAATATTACATTTTTGAATGTTAAAGTTAACCAAAAAAGTTCTAACTTCCTAATTTTAGTGACAGCTCTGCCTGTTATAGACTTTTACTTTTTTATTTTTCTTAAATTCCATTGCCCTCGAGGTTGAGGGGACCAAAGGGGGGCCAGGCGGGGCTGAGAACAGGGTGGGGACAGGCTGCTGAGGCCGAGCCACACTCCCGCCCACAGGTTTTCTACTCCTTTTGTACAGTTGTGAGCATTTGAGACCAGCCTCCGGGCACCTGTGTTCATTGTACAAACTACCTGAGTGATTAAAGTTTAGCTTTTCTACAGGAAGCCCAGGGCCATGTTTTGGGGGCAGCGCCCCCTCGGGGGCGGGGTGGGGCCATGGGAGGCTCTTTAGAGGCGGGAAGAGCCAGCAGCTGGTCCCCGCTGACCACATCACCTTTAATGGGGACTTGCAACAACTTATTTTTAAAATTAACACACACACGTCGTTTCAGTCAGCTCTGCCCTTGCTGTTCTGATGTCTGTCAGACGCCCTGAGACCAGCCTCTCGCCCTCGTCTGAGGCTGGGGCGTGGGAGGGCGTGCTGGGCGCCTTGCAGCGACAATTCAGACCAGAACTTCACGTTGCCTCCCATATAAAACACGTTTAAGAAAAAGGCCTTTCAAAGTTTTTAATACAAAAATATTCATACACAATTTGCCAAACACAAGTTTCCATTTTAAATGCTATTGGCAGTTCCCACATCTACATTTCAGTATAGCCCCCCTAGAGGCGAACTTCAAGTTTCTGAGTCTATCAGAACCGGTAGCACCCATGTTCCTAAGAGAAGCCGGGCCTCGTCCGTCAAGTCCAGACGCCGGGAGGCAGAGGCTGAGGTTTAAGTTCTGATAGTTTCACATCCCGACGGCATGTGGGCACCGCCATGGACACGCGTGTGCGTCAGACACCTCCCCCAGGACTGAGAAGGTGGCACTGACTCCATGGAACAGGCTTGCCTTGCGCTTCTGACAAGGTTGTCCTGGAAGACGTGACGGTTCTCCGCCAAGATCAGTACTTCAAAGGCGTCAGAGCACAGACCTGAGTGTGGGGCCCGGGAGGGAGGGAGGGCCAGCGGACAGACCTCTCCACGTGCTGGGGCCAGACTGGCCTCCCCAGTGGTCACTGCTGAGGCGGACACACTCCTGGGCCTGGCAGCTGGTGAGGTGCCCACCTCCCCGGGCCAGTGCCAGCCGGGCAGCCGTGACCACGCTGGGCGTAGGCTCCTGACACCAAGGAATCCTGAGGTTGGGCTGTTTTGTTTCTGCTTCACATTAACGACAAAAGGGCTGGATCGTGTTTGGAAAAACAAACCCCACCTCTGAGGCCAGCGCCCCCGGGGAGACAGCCCCACGGCCCCGTGGGAAGGTCCTCCGACGGCTGCGGCCCTGACCCTGCGATGGTTTTCTCATGTTCAAAGGTAGTGTTATCTGCTCGTTCACTTAACAGTTTTGGGGAAAAGGGCAGCCATATTGAAAATGTTTCTAGTATTTCCTTCAAGATCGTTTAAAACTTGGAAATATCAGTGACTCAATCACAAGATTTTACTGTCAAATGTGGAAATAAGTTAACCTGCTCCCCAAAGTGCGCTGCAAACCCAAGTCTGAGCCCTGCCGTAGACACCCAGCAGGAGGCAAGGATGGCGGCCTCTGCCTGCGCCGGCCCTGGCTAAGCGCGCGCCATGCCCATGGCAGCTGCAGCCACTGCCCAGCCCACGGATGCTGCCGGGACGAAGGAGGGAAATCTGAATCAAGCCAGGGTTTTCTCGGACAATTGAAAAGTTATGAACGAAAATGCTCTGCAGTCCACGTTGGGCAGGTGGTTTCCACGAGAATGAAACGCCACGTGCAGACGTGGTCGGGGGCAGAGCTCTGGGCTTCCCTCTCGGTTCTGTGTGACTGCCCGGGGTCACGAGAGAAGGCCGGGCAACCAGCCAGGAAAACCACGGTCAGCCTGGAGGCCTGGAGCCCACAGCCCCCAGGAGCCACATGGTCTCAGCCTGACAGACCCACCCCAGCTCTAGTCACAAACCCGGGGGGTGGAGAGGGCCCCCCCCACCACGCGGGACCAGCTGCGAACCCTGCAGAGCATGGGCCTTCGTCAGAAACGTGCCCGTTGCGTGTTCCTGCCCCGCCACGCCTGGGCAGCAGGCTCCAGCGCACACGTGTGCCTGGTGGAGGCTCCCTCTTCTCGGGGGTTCTGAGCCCCAGGGTGGAGTGGGACTCCAGGAAGAAGAATCACATCTTGCACAGAGAATGCAGTACTTTCCAGAAGTTTCTCCAGGGTTCTGACCGGCACAACTCAGTTCTGCGAACAGACCCACAGAGCGAGGAAGCGGCCACGACTCCATGTGGCCAGCTCCAGCCTCGCCTCTCAGGCCCCGGAGAGGGCCTTCCCCGAGAGTCATCACCAAGCCACTCGCACCCGCCAAAGCCACACCTTGGCCGGGAGGACTCAGGGTCGCGTCAGTAAATACACGATTCAGTCGGTGGTATTTGAGAAATTTTAGCAAAAATATATTGAGACTAAAATCCAGAACGTAAAGAACGCCAAATGAAAAGAATGTACAAAGTCTCCCCAGGTGTTGGTAAGAGCCAGGGCGGTGGAGACGCCAGCGAGCGGGGCTCGGAGGAGGGAGCTGCTCTCTGAAGCTGACGGGGCAGGGACCCTCAGTTCCAGTCCGCAGAGAGCAGACGACCAGGAAGCTAGCCGTCCCATCACCACCCAGGGTCAGCTGCGTGCTACGGTGAGAAGGGCACGGGAGGGAAATGTCACGTTTCCACGTTAGTACAGTACAGCTGGCTCACCAGAATCACGGGGTTCCGAGGACTGCGGGGTCTGAGCCCCAACAGTTCAGAAAAAAACTATGCTACAGGTTCCGGGGGAGATAAAAAGATTTCATCTGTCATGTCAATCAGACATGACAACTTTAACCTAAAACCAGTGGGAAGGAAATCGACATTCTTGGCGATTCAAGTAGCTGTAAAACTGTCGTCCTGGGCGCTGGTCCCTGGCGCTCCGAGCCCCGCGGCTCAGGCGGTCAGTGCAGACAGCGGGGCTGCCGATGGCTCAGTGCTGGAGGCGCTCCCTCCCGAGAGCCTGCGCTCCCTGTCCCAGCTTTGC